TTTATTCTCCTAATTAGATAACTTTATTCTCGTAGTGCTACGACTTTATGCTTGAAATAGAAGATAAAAATCTGTCCTGGCCCTAATTCTCCGCCATAAGAAAATGTGTCCGACAAATGACTTAAAAAATAAGGGGGACAGTATTTGGGCCCCATAATAATCCGGACCGCCTGTGTTTGCAGGCAGTGGGTGGTTGATGACCTCTCTAAATGTCCTTCAGCCTCACATTATTTCAGATTTAACTGTGCAGAAACACTGTTTTTAAACTCAACTATCATCCCTGTTGTTTTAGGAATGCTGTGTAAATAAATGAGTAATTGTCTTCAGCTTTACTCACTCTGACACTGCAGTCCCCGGGCTGTGACCTGCCTGCTGCAGGCGTCACACCAGTCCTGCTTCACCGGCTTGGGCAGGAATCGGTGTCCCTCTCCTCTCTCTGCCCGCACTCTGGGGTCCATTTCCCGTGGGAAGATGGACCAGGCCTGCCTGCGGTGCGGTTCGGTGCGGGCCAGCTTCACCACGCCCGTCCTGCCTTGAGTGACCCGCTCCAGCGGCAACCCGCGGCTCTCTCCGGGGGTTGACGCCGCGGAGCAGCCGCCCTCTGGACCGTCCCGGAGCCGGTGTGCTCTCCTCGGTCCGCTCTCCATGGCAGAGCCTCCTGCCTCCTTCCGACAGCCCGTGTTTTGGTTGGAGTCACAGGTCATGAAGCCGCTGCTGCTCATCCCTGAGGCGACCACCCCGCAGCTAACCGCCTCTCTGTCCTCCGCGGGGCTACGTGGCGCTCCGCGGCCGGCCGTGGCACCGCATCCTCCGGCGGGCATCATTCCTCCAGCGGGTCCCGGACGCCGCAGGCGACGAGCCCGCAGCTCCTCCTCAGCGGCAGCAATCTCCGAGCCGCTCCTGGCGAGCATCATCTTCTCCCAGGACGACCTTCTCCGCGGCGGGATTTTGTTAGTGGTTCCGGGCAGTTGGAAGAGCAGCGGCTCCGTGTGCGGACCGGGCTGCTGACCCACCACGCTCACAGACGCCATCACGCTGCTGACCGTCAGCTGGCTGCTGCTTTTCTTTCCGTGCGCTGAATGTAAACTCCGCTCACTTGGTGACAGGTCGCTTTGAGGCGCCGCGAGGAGCACGAGCGATAAAGGCAGCGCGCGCTCCACCTCCGGAACGTCGGGAGCGCGCGCTGCTCACGCTAATTCACTGAGATTTTCACTATAGAGCATGAAACTTTCTGAGAAGTCCTATAAGAGGTGTTTTTTTATCCTCTTCCCAGCCAAAACAAGCAGAACATATATATTTATGTTTTTACTCTCAATATTTGTCAAATATAGAGATACAACCTAACTTTGCACATTTTTGCTGTTTTAATTTTAGATTTCTGGGTTATGGGGGGTCTAGATGGGGGTGAATGAGTGCCAGGACCCTTGTAGATCTTGTCCTGATAAGCAGAGGCGGAGCTAGATGGGGGGCCATGGCCACCATTTTTTCCCCCTCTAATACAGTTGTTGGCAGCAGTAATACTCTGAAGGGGAATGTTCAAATCTATTAAACATTTCAATTTTTCAAATATTAACAACTACTTGACAACAGAAACACTGTGGTTAATTATGCACATCTATATACAATCATTAAAGATGATAAGCACAGAATTCATGTTCTTTTCAGAACAAAATTCTGAATTATTTTGGGTAAAGATAAAATTTTGTGCCTCTGCAAGTCATTAGAAGTCTTCAGTGAAATCATAGATAAATAACTACTTTAAAAATTACTTAAAAATGCATTAAATATGGATATTAGTAGATTTGAATATTATTTATTTGCAGAATGGTTATTGATAAAACTAGGAAATGACAATGTAAAATATATTCGCCCCAGAACTCAAACCTGAAAGAATTTTGTCCCCTATTTTACTTACACAGCATAGATGTTTAAATATATCAGTTTATTTGTTACCAAAGGCTGCAGGGAAGTATAGTTTGTCTTTATTTAGAAAATATGGATGTTGTATTCATTCCTGTTGGAACAGTGTAGATTGACTCTGAGGTTCTTGCGCATTTCGGCCCCCCTTATTAGGATTTTCTGGCTACACCTCTGATGTTAAGGCCCCTGTACTGAAAACATTGACAAACACTGGTTTGTCGGAAACATCTTGCTAAACAGTTAGCAACTTATTGCTAGTAGGTTCCCAATGGGAAATTCCAGTGGGACCAAGTACTAAATTGGTGACTTAGAAACGACACTGTCCAGGAACGCTATGGACAGAGGAAACATGCAAGAGGAGGAGAGTTTTGTGTCGGAGGTCGTGGATGAGTCTCCTCCGTCATCCATTTTTTATTTAGAG